GGAGAGCGTGTCCGAACTGCTCTCACTCACAGTCCCCCCCCCCCCCCTTCAGAACCCTCCCCCCAATGACAGGGCTGCTACATGGCCCATGGCTCTCGTTCTTTCCTTCAGGCTTTGCAGCACCAGGCGAGTCTGGCTCCACATACTTTCGGGCGTGTGCCCTGGGCACCTGTGAGAGGCATGGGGCCCCCAGACGCCCGCGAGCCTGCAGTCAGTGCAGCCTGGGCTGTTCCCACAGGGAGGGGCAGATAAGGGCCGCAGCACGCCCACCCGAGAACGGCGCGTGGAGCCTGCAGAGGGCATCTGTGTGCGCGGCCCAGCATGTGGCCCTGGGAGGTGCTGCCCAGCGAGCCCCGGAGTGGAAGGCAGTGCGTTAGGGTTGGGCATCCTCCCCACAGACGCCAGCACAGGGCCGGGCTGGCCGCGCAGGGGCACCCCCGGGGGCTGAGGGTTAGCAGGGGGCTCAACCAAGGCAATCACCGAGTTCAGAGGAAGACACACATCCCAAACTTCAGACCTTTCCAGCACAGGAAGAGGGTGGGAACAGAGGGCATGTCAAGCAGTAGGTCAGACGCAGAGGAAATCCACACCGTGCCTCGCACTCTGCTTTCACATGCTGGAAAGTGAGGGTATCACGGAGAATCCGGGGGAAAGAGGCGCTTGGAGGCCGGCCAGGCATGGACGTGGGGCGGGGGGAGCTGCGGCCTGGGTCCATGCTGCCTGGCCCTGTGGCCTCTCCCGGGCCTGCTTTCAGGGAAGGGAAGGGAGGGTGTGTACCCTACTGCACGGCGCCTGTGGCTTTGAGCACAACCATCCCCACTTCCTGAGACCCCGGGGCGGGAGGGGGCACACGACCGATTCCCAGACGGCGGACAGGACACTGAGTCGGCCACCTGGGAGCTTCACAGGGCAGAGGGGCGGGACGGGAACCCCAAACGTAGCTGCTGCACCTTGTGAGGCCAGTGAGCTGGGAGGAGCTCCGGGCAGGCCCAGGGCTGGGCAGGGCATGCATCCCGCGGCGGCCAGAGCTGTGAACAAGGCCACTCCGGACACACACAGTGAGCCTGCTCGGAGGAGCTGTTGGCCCGGAGCCTCAGCCCCACCCGGTAACCAGGATCACTCTGTCCTCTGGTGCCTGGGGGGCTCCTCGGGGCACCCCACCGGCCCACCTCCTCACCTTGGTGCCCGGGCTGCAGTCAACACACAGCGCCTCGCACCTGCTCCCGAGACCCTCCAGGTGGAAATGCAGGCCCAGCAGCTGCTCTGGGTCCCGTCCCCCCCATGAGGCCCTGGACCGACTCTGGGCAGGGCCAGGAGCTCCTCTAACTGTCCCGGCGCCCAGCACAATGTGGCAGAGAGTGCCACACTGTGATTAGGCCGATGCACCCAAACCTGATGCACACACCACCATCATGCAGAAATCCAGAGTCCAGTAGAAGCGTGTTGATGAAGTTTGTGAAGTTCCCCAGAATGCTGAGCCCGGGCGGGTCTCACCGACAGGAGCCAGCCGCCCAGGAGGGCCAGGAGCACAGCACGTGGGGGAGCCTGGGGGACGGGCCCCCGGCAGGGGGGTGGGCGTTCGGACTTTCCTCTCAACTCTTGGATTTAACGCTCGCAGACTGGACTCTCCTCCCAAATCTCCCACTGCTGCACCGAAGTCAGAGCTGCTGCGGGGCAGCACCCACCCCTCAGCCGTCGGCGGTGATGTGTGCTCAACCCAGGGAGGGACTGGGCCCCCAGGTGGGTGGAGCCCAGGGTAAGGCTGGTCCGCACCCTCGGTGGGGTGTCCCAGCGCCCAAGCGCCTGAGTCCAGGGCCTGCTGACACAAGTGGGCGCAAAGCCTCGGGCCCAGCTCCTCGTGGGCTTGAGCCCGAGTCCTGGGGGCCAAGCTGCCATCCGGTACGCACACCCTGTGTGCCCCGCGGATGTAGGTCACCGCCCCTGGGTCCTGCGGGTCTTCGCCCCTTTGTCCTCTGACCGTCCACCTCTTCCGGGCAGACCTGCAGCTTCACAGGGCCCTGTTGTCCTGCACACGGCTCCTGGGGGGCCTCCGAGCACCCCCACCTTGCAGAGGAGGCTCTGCTTCTCGGGCCATTCAGTCCTGGGTCTTGGCACCATCTGACTGCGGGCTCTGGCCACAGGTCTGCGCGGGAGGCTGGGACCCACTGAGTGAGCCGAGGTCGGAGGCCGCTGCGGGAACCACAGGCCTGTCCTCGACCCTGGAGGAAGGCAGGGAGGGGTCCTCCCAGAGTGGACACTCTACTGTGGGGAACCAGACTCCAGGCCAGCAAACAAATATGGTGCCAGGTGCCTGGGAGGAAGATAAAGCAGGAAGCGGGGGGGGGGGGCTACTTTTTGCAAGGTTTGGGCCCAGAGATGAGGTTGTGAGCTGGGGGTTCCTGGATTACGGTTGACAGAGACCAGTCTGCTGCATTCTTACAGCGGATTCATGTCGCTGTGTGGCGCTGTGGGCACGCTCCCCGCCCGAGAGACACCTCCGACGTCACAGGTAAAAGGAAAAGGCAATTTGGCCCCCATGGTCCTGTGGTTTATATGCCTCCTTGTCAGGAACCTAAGCGCCGCAGGAAGGAGCTGTGCCTGCAAGGAGGCGGCCGGCTGTGAGCGCAGCACCGCCCAGAGCCCTCCTGCCACACAGGCACGGGCACAGGATCTCCCTGGTACAGATGAATATTTAAAACACAAAAGTCTGAGAATATTTATTCTTCAAGGAAGGCTTTTATGTTGCCAACCTGGCAATCACAAAGCACGGCATTGCTATGAAAACAGGGCATCTTGACGTCGACTGACCGCGAGCAGAGGGAGGTCCTAACTCTATCCAACCAGGTGGAGGAGTGGCTGCCGGGTCCTTCGCAAGGGCTGCTGGTGTGCCCCAGGGTCACCAACAAGCCAAGTGATCCTGGCACCATTTTCTTCACGTGTCTTAGCGTGAAGTCCAGCACCCAGACCGAACTCCCCACGGGGGCTCTGACATTCTCCGAGGTTCTTGGCCACCACCAGGCTGCACGAGGAGCCGGACCATCGCCGGGGGAAAGGCCAGGAGCTTTTCCAGGGTGCCCTCGGCACTCCCACAGCCGTGATCCAGTGGGACTCACGCAAATCTTTCTGGTTTCCCTGCGACTCGGCCCGACCTGACCCTCTGGCCTGGCCGCTGGGACACGGGTGGCTGGAGGGAGAATCCGAAGCAAGGTTAGGTGATCTCTGAACACTGCCGATTGGAGCTCAGCACTCGCCCTCAGTACCCAACAACAAGGTCTTAGGGGAGCTGTGGGTCCCCGTGAGATCCCGGGTTTGAAATGCAGCCCTTTCGTAAGCCGGCGCCCCCAGCGAGGAAAGCAAGAGAGAAGGTGAGCCCAGGGAGAGTAAAAATAAAACTGCTGCAGAGCTGTGAGTCATGCTGCTGTGACAGGTGACACAGTGCCCGCACCACAGGGTGGGGGAGGGGAACCCACAGCCCCCCAGAGGCCAGCCTGCTCCTGATGCCCCTGGCCCGGGTCCTCACGGCCGTGGGGCCCGTGTGGAGTGACCGGCCCATGGCCGCAGGACAAGTCCTTTCCCACCCGCCTCCCTGTCACCCAGGAGAGGCCCAGCCCTCCGAGCGTCCTTGGGTGAATTCCATACCAGAAGTTGGGATTTATTTGGAAAGCTGCAATCATAAATCAAATGTCACAAGCTGCTGAAACTCATTCAGAGGTTGATGACTCTTTGTCAAACAACCTATGACCCAGAAAACTCCCGGAGAAAACCATCCAGTCCCACTGAGGCTGGTCCCCTGCAGAGTTCACATGGCCCCTGTGGAAATCCTTGCCCAGCCCTCCCCGGCCAGCACGGGTCCCCTCCCTGGCTCCGCAGGATGCATGGGCCAGCCACCTGTGTAAGTGGTCGCCAGACAGTCTCCTTAGAGGCACTGCTGAGGCCCCGACCTGCTGGCCACCACCTG